ACACCAAGATGGAGACGGACAAACACCAGGATGGAGACGGACAAACACCAAGATGGAGACGGACAGAAACCAAGATGGAGACGGACAGAAACCAAGATGGAGACGGACAGAAACCAGGATGGAGACTGACAAACACCAGGATGGAGACTGACAAACACCAGGATGGAGACTGACAAACACCAAGATGGAGACGGACAAACACCAAGATGGAGACGGACCGAAACCAAGATGGAGACGGACCGAAACCAAGATGGAGACGGACCGAAACCAAGATGGAGACGGACCGAAACCAAGATGGAGACGGACAGAAACCAAGATGGAGACGGACAGAAACCAAGATGGAGACGGACAGAAACCAAGATGGAGACGGACAGAAATCAAGATGGAGACGGACAAAACCAAGATGGAGACGGACAAAACCAAGATGGAGACAGACAGAAACCAAGATGGAGACGGACAAAACCAAGATGGAGACGGCTAAAACGTTGAACTCGTGGATTCAAAACATCAGTCCACAAACCAATTTGGTTAAATCACAAAGATTTTGTCCACTTCCTAAAGTCAGCCTTTGGTTAAAACCTACAGATTACAGCTTGCTGATCTGATACTAATTCAAAACAAGGACCGTTTTCTTGACATTAGTCACTGATTTCTCCACACTGCCTCGATGGATAACTACATTTAAAACATCCTTGTTGGAACTAAGACAGCGCTTACTAATCTCTCTAAATGTTAATAAATATCAGAAACATTGAATCCTGGGAACTTTGGAAGAAAGAAAACACAGTTTGGACCACATTCAGTAAAGGAGTTCTGTTAGTATTATATTAATAATATTTGTAATGATTAACACCTAAAAGAAAGATGTCACACTCTAGATGTTGTCAAAGTTTACTGATGAAAACAGAAACAACAGAATCACTTCTAAACCTTTGGGGTAACGAGCGAGGACCATTTGGGGTTCCAGCGAGAAAGTTTAGCGAAGAAAGTGTCGTAGAATGCACTGTTCAGAAACGAATATAATGAATGTTACACACATGTTATATAGCCAGTAAAAGAAGAGATTCTGTGTATATATATCATGTAAGCCATTTTACACACTCCAAACACAATTCTACACGACTAATATAAGTATCTAAAACAATTACCACAATATCACACTTTTTTCGCCATTGCTGAGCAGACCACACACTCCGGTAGGCGCTAAGAAGAAGAAGCTAGAGGCTAACACGGAAAACCGAAATCGCAGAAAGCACGCCAATAACACACAGATTCCACAGTATCTTCAGAATTTCACTCCGTGAAACCAGTACAGAGCTGTGAGCAAACAAGCACCAGAACCACAAACCACTTTATCAATACAAATCGTAACTGCACCTCACCGTGAGCTGAATTCATGAAGAGAACAGATAAATACCCGCTTATTTCGATTCAAATATGTTCGACGTATATCCTGTTGTGTCTCTCAACTGTTTGTTGAAGAAAGGGGGGTCTACCTAACTTAGGGGACCAGGGGGTAGAGATTTGACTTTCGGCGAATGGAATTTTATGCTCCGCGAGAGACGGCGTGGTTTTGATTTTCACTGGCTAACGATTCTGTCAATCAATACCACGTTACGCCCACTCGATTGTCTGGACTCTGACGCGTCATTTTCTGAAATTGACCAATCATAGGCTGTGGTGGCCCGTTCTTGATTCCTCTTCCTCTGTACTGAGCCACGTTACGAGGCTCTGTTTCTGACTCACACGTTGAACCGTCTAAATAATGACTCTTGCAGACACTGCTTTCTTTGCCGTCACTTGATTGATTTTATTTTCTCTTTTGACAAATTCAACAGCAAAATATAATCTGTTAAGCGTGAGGTCAAAGACTGTCCCGATGCCCCGTTCCACACAAAGGAAAACCAACCCTCGAGACTCAGTCCCACCCCTTCCTCTTATGCCAGCTGATCCTCCTCTGGTTAATCACGGAAGTTCCTAAAGAAAAGTAATTATACAGAATCCAAAATGTAACCTTCATTCATAAATTAAAGGAGTCACACAAATATATTAGCAAAAATGAGAAATTATGATTTGTAATCAAAACTAAAAATATGGCTCTAACATAGGCTGAGAAAGGCCCACATACACGCAGGGAAACTGGAATTCAGATGAGAAAATCCCATGGATGACAGACACAAACAGGCTCAGAGAGGATTCAGGCTCTCAAAATGATGCCAAACTGCTGTATTTGGATAGATTGAACACTATTAGTGATAAAACAAGTGAAATATATAGTTATATAGTATATAAAATTACAATGGAACAGCTGGTTCCAAAATTTCAATTTGGTTGACCTCACTTGACCTCTCTGTACTAAAACCTCTGTAATTTTGTTCTGCTTCACTTTATCAAAGTCAAACTTTGCACACAGACTGTTGACATGTTCGTCTATGATTTGGGAGATGTTTTAAGGTAACCACTGCCTCATTTCAAAGAAACAATAACAATAAAATTGCTTTTTTTTCAGGCGAACCTGAAACTTTTAAATTTTCAGCTGTGTGCCATCTTCATTCACTCTTAACCAGTAACATATACACTGATATTTACACATCTGAACAAGTCTCTCACAAGTGTTACCTTTATTACAACATCAACATTATTCAAATAGACCTTGTAGTTGCAGAAATACACTCTTTTAAGTATGGGTATGCAATTTTCGAGCAGAGGCCTAATAATAGGGCTAGAGGGCTCTACAGGTTTTAAACTAAGAACATGGATATCTAACCAACATGACGGACAGGTGTCTGAGGACAATCGGAGCTCGTCAGGCACAACGTGTCTCACCTGGACCTGACTCACATTTAAACTGGTGGTAGCAGCCGGTCGAGTCCTAAAGACTCACAGACCAACAGCTACTTTGATTTCCTTCTGGTCGAGTGTCCACCGCTGAGCTCTGTGACAAAGAAAACCAGCTTCAGGGTTTTCTGTTCTCCATATAAAGTAACTGAGAGGAAGTAAGAAACATCTTTGCAGCTCAGATGAAGAACACATGAAGGACGACGGAGGTTTTAAATGCAGTCGAAATGTGGAGATGTAGACGTCTAAAGAACAAAAAATACTGATTTCAACTTGTTTCACCAGAGAAATATACGTCATGAGGACATAAAAACCTTTGAAAGGACTTCAAATGTTTCATAATTAGGCAGATAAACATAAATATGCTCCCATAACCTCAGAAGAAGAAACGATCATCAGAAAGTCATATTAATGGATAGTTCATATATTCACACAGTTTTAATTTGCTGTATTAATCCGTCCTCTCTGACTCAATATTAATGAATGCACAGAAGGATTCACACACATATTTTGGGATTTATATATAAATTAGTCTCTCCAAAAAACGTTTTTCAATGCACACAAAAACAGACACAAATACTTTATGGATTTCTTCATATTTAAAACAAGAAATATTTTTCTGCATCAGAAATGTGCTTTTTTTTACATTTATACACAAACTATTTCTGTATGCATTGAAAGATATTTTTGGGTGGACAGTTATTTATATATAAATCACTGATTCAATCACTGTCTTTCAATGAAGCTGTGTGAAAAAGCAAAGTTCAGTCCGAGGCTTCAGCAGAGAGTGAAGTCTCTCGCAGTCACATATTACAACAAACCAGTGGCGGGCCGTCATTTTAAACCTGGGCCTTCAGTGCTGTCCTGCAGCTGAAATACCACCTTATAACCTCATGATGGCGCCACAGCTATTATTCGCTTCTATGGCTGTAACTATGTACGTATTCGTATTAAACCGTGCGGTACAAGTCTTGCAAACTAAACAATACGTTTGAATAATAGTACTGCATTTGGAAAATGCAGAAGCTTAAACTGTGGGAAATATAATGTTTTGTAATGTAGGACAGAGCCGTGGTTCTCCAACTGGTCTGGCTGCGGGACCCACCATCACCCCGTAATGACAAGCCGCGATCCAATTTTCTCTATTGGAGACCGTTTTATGGTTTACTTTCACAATTCACATACTAATAGTACTGCTCTGCTATCTCTTTCCTCAGCCCCGTGTGTCACGGTGTGTGTACATCTCACTCGAGTCAGGAAACTTGTCAGAATACTCATATTTGATTGGCTGAGCTGCATCACGTGATGTGATTCACAACGCATTGGTCAGTGTTTTTCCTGCTCCGCTGAACAAGTGCCGTAAATGCTGGAATAATTCCGCTGCATAAAAAATAACCTTCAAAATAAAAGCACAAGATTTTTTTTTTTGTCAGGCAAAGGCCGGTCTGTGTGACCTCTGAGCCGCAACAAAAAAAACACAACAAAAAACAGCTGGGGCTCCGCAAGTGTTCTGGGAGGCTATGCTAACTAGCTTAACGGGAAAACAACAGCAGCAACACGCATTCTGCTACACACTCGAGGGCCATTCAGATATTAGATGTAAAAAAAAAACAAATGCAGTTGACTTACCAAACTCCATCCTCCTTTCATCCCAGTTAAATCCCAACTCACAAATCTATTTCTCCTCCTTCAGCCAACTGAGGAAGACAGTAGCTGTGCAATGAGAACATAAGATAATGGGGAAAATGATTTTATAAATTATAATACATGGTGTATTTAAGAAAAATTATTAAATTATAAAATAGATATAACTTTGTGATTCTGTTCAGGCCAGCAGAGAAGGCCTTGCAGGCCCTGATGGCCCACCTCTGACACAAATACATATATGACTGCATTATTTTATTGTAGCGTATTTCACAATAATGTGTGTTTTTACTGCAGAGCATCAACAAGAGTTGTGACAAGACTGCTGCTGTTTGGTCTCAATGAAACCTCTGGGTGTAATGTGTCTCTCAGACACCAGATGGCGCTCTGCACAAAGGAGACTGAGCAGCTCGTGACCACGCTGCATTTCATCATTGCCTCACTTTTTATTACTTTTGTTGGTTCGAACCGAAACGCAACCATCAACAAAACAGCATCTTCATCCTGAAATAAAGAGTTCATGTTGTGGAGACCGAGAAGTTCTGAGCCCATAATTTGAGCAGATGTTTGATAGGTGTCACACACACACACACACACACACACACACACACACACACACACACACACACTCTTAATACACTTTGTTTCTCCAATGAAGTTCTGAATGCTGTTTGAGTTAAATGACGTGAAAACAAAGTTGAAACATAAAAACACACTTTATTGGAAAAAAATACAAAACTGACTTTCCATTAAAAAGTTTCACAAAAGTCTTTTGATATATAAAAAACAATATGTACAAAGTTCTGTTTTCTGGTTTATAAAATACAGTAAAAATGACGACTTATTATAGAAGTTAAAGCAATAACTTAACTGAAGAGTCGTATAGTTGTATGATGAAACAGCCTGTAAAGGAACATCCAGACAAACAAAGTCTCTCAGCTTGTTTCTGTCTCGAGGAGGAACAAGAAGACAAAGCATCGCTTCCTTCTGGTCACCAACACACAGAACTAAAGCCCATAATGACGTCCGGTCGGCCCGACTAAACAGCAGCAACATAACAAGGACACATCTTCTACTTTCAGATTCACCATTAAAATGCGTCCCAACTTCTTTCCTTCACTTCCTGTTTCCTTCCTGAGTCTTTGTTTTCCACTTGATTCCTCAGCATGAGCACCATTTCAACATGCGTGTTCTGTATCAAATCCCTGATCTTCTCCTCAGATTAAAGAACTATTTACACACCAGGCATTTTTATTTATTTGACAATAATCTCTTATCATATCTCAATGATCAGCAGGTTTGTGGGTCTGTCCAACACTAATAAACCCGTTCTCACTCTCAGGGCGTCAAACACCGACGGCTGGTCAGAGACCGACGTCTTTATTAGAGGCTCAACTGGTGTGAATTAAAGAGAGAAAGTCCTCACAAGGCTAGAGGGACAAACGGAGTCAAACAAACACAGGACTTTCACTCAGGGGACCGGTGTTTTTGTCCCGTGTAAAACCACAAGTTTTAAGTTTTACAACATGAAAACAACGCATCTTCATATAACGGTTCATAGGATATCTTATCTTGTCTAAAACTACTACGTTAGATTTAGGGAAAGATTGTTGTTTGAGTTAAAATAACTACAGAAGTGTCGTTACTGAAGTACTAAAGTTACGTGACAAATAAATCAATGTTGACTTCTGGTTTCACACGAGGAACAAACAAACAGCGGTCTGCCGGAGGAAAGATCTGTTTGTTGGACTCATCCACCTCCACCACCGCCCTGTGAGGGTTTGTATGGTCTCTATACTTCCTCGTTTATAATTACGTAGATAGGATTGAAATAATAATGTTTAGCTTTTACAAAGAACAACTGTGCTTCTGTTTCCTGTCGGAGTCAAAAGACATTTGAATAAAGATGAAACTTCATCAACCTTAGTGTTTGAGCCTGAAAACATGTCTTTCAGTTTGACCGAGGAAACGGACTACAAAAGCACCCAAACAGTCAAACTCATGTTAATACCAGGAGACAAATTTAGCTTCATGTTGACTCTGAACACATCTTCACCTCTTCTTATTGGCACAAAAGTGCTGGAAGTGACACCTTCTTTATATTGAAGCCTCAATCTATAAAAAAATAATTTTATACATTTAAATCATATTTCAGTATTACATCAACATTCTCCTCACACACAGAAACTCAGTCTTTCCAGAGTTCAGTGATCTCATTGATAAAGTCCTGAAGGAGCAGCCAGGCCCGCCCTCTTCTCAGCATTCCCAGAGTTCCTTGATGCATTTCCTGAGGCGGCGGTGTCGTCCAGACCCAGAGACCGGCGGTACGCCGCGGAGAGTCGGTACAGGATGTCGGCCCGAGGGCCGGGGTGGGCGTCGGCCTTCTGTGTCATCAGCATCTCAAACAGCGTGCTGACCTCAGACAGCAGCGCCCCGCCCAGTGGGCCATCCTTCTCTGGAGTTTTACCTGAAGGAGGAAGAGGAGAGGGAGGAGTCACTCTGCTGCATTCTGGGAATGAAAACCAGACCTTCTGCCTCAACTACAGCAGTTAATAAAACAATTATTAATTGGTTACAACTTCTGAAAATGTGTTGGTTTTCTTTGGGTTTTCAAGTGTTATTTAAAACAGCCATTTCAATGAATCTAATTTTAAATAACACATTTTAGTTGTCTAAACCTAACTAAGTAGTTTAGTTGTCTCAACCTAACTCAGTAGTTTAGTCGTCTCAACCTAACTAAGTAGTTTAGTCGTCTCAACCTAACTAAGTAGTTTAGTCGTCTCAACCTAACTCAGTAGTTTAGTTGTGTAAACCTAACTAAGTAGTTTAGTTGTCTCAACCTAACTAAGTAGTTTAGTTGTCTCAACCTAACTCAGTGGTTTCCTGTGAAGACAGGTTTATTTTGAAAAGACTGTATTCATGTAACGAGCAGAAATTAACACACGTTTCTGGACTTTTGTAGGAAAACGCACAAGAAATGAGCAACTTTTTCATCAGATATCATACAAAGAATTGTATGAGGATACGTTGAAAATAGCCAAAAGTTTCAACCGTGAAACTAACGAGACATCTGTGACATCCACAAGTTTTTTTAAAAATCTAGACATTGTTATCATCTTTCAATAATTCTTTAGAATGTTTTGGTTCACTTTTGACTTTGGACGTAAAGTTTTAATACTTATTTAAAAGCTAGAGTTAAATCTATGTCGACCCTTTTTAAACATCTACCTACAGCTCAGCTACGCTTCAGACTCTACAAGTCTTTTAATAGATCATTAAGTAGATTCAACCGCTGTGATTTAAACTCTAACTTTTAAATTGAAATGATAGCAAAACAAGACTCTTTGCATTTTCACCGAAAGTGGAGAAGGACGAGGAGTCCAGGGCATCCCGGGGACAGAGCTCACTCTCAGGGGACGGTGGCCCGTTGGGGACAAAGACGTTGTCGTGGTAATCGGCAGTGAGAGGCAGAGAGAGCCGGGCCATCCAGGCCGGGTCGCTGACATCTGGGAAGATGTCATCTACAGAGAGAGGAGAGAGAGCCGAACTTAAATATCTTTAAACTTTACATTCATTCAGACGTCCTGTGAGACTCTTCCTTTTAGTTTCTCTCTATCTGGAGAACGAGGCAGGAAGACCAGGAGGAAACAACACACTGGCTTTTATTCTGAAGTGTCCTCTCTGATCTCATCCTCATCACTTCCTGTTTGTGTCCTGTACTTCCTGTTTGTGTCGTCAAAATAATGAAAGAGCTTCATAGTTTTTAATCAGTTCATGTGGAAGATATCTGGAGGAAGAAGAGATGAGAGTTACTAAATGTAAAACGGACTCAACACAGGACGTTTACAGTCTAATGAATATGAAACACACAGATATATAGTTTCTAGTATTTTAAGTATTTATATTTCCAAAGTATACTGTGAGGAGTCAGGAGTGAATCTAAACAGAGATACAGTTATTTCATTCATAAAATTGAACAGATTCCAGACATTGTTCGAGTTCCTTCATTTATTTTAGACATTATTTCTGTTGTTATTATTTCTTTCATGTTTTATTGAAACTTTGTTTTGTGATTTTAAGAACTGCGGATGTTTGTGTGTTTACTCAGTCAGAGTTAAAGCAAAATGCTGATTATCGAGGTATCAATGTATAAATCCATATTTCTATTTCAACAAACATTTGACACGTTATCTATTGAAGAACAACAGAGTGAGACTCTGTTTCCTGTTACATCTCTTTACTTGTTCTTGTTACTTCTCTGCACGTCTACATGTGAACTTCTATGTAACATGAAGATTCATAATCAGACTCTCGTAGAAGTAAAAGTTCTGCTCAACATTTAATATTAATATCAGTTAAAGTATAAACAGTGAATCATATCTGATCAGTTAACGGATCTCCAGCTCCTTTCAGTAGATGAACTCTGGATGATGTCTGAAAGTCATTATGTAGTGAAGCTGAAACATTATTATTATTATTATTATTATTATTATATTCAGAGCTCCTGAAAGAGTCTTTACTTGATGTTAAATGTAAAATATTATTTTTTAACGGCCGTCTCCAGACGTCACATTGATGAGAGTTTAACAGTCTGAGACTAATCAGCCTCCTTCATCTCACCACCAACAGATGTTTAACACACACACACACACACACACACAGTTAATCCCCCCCCCTCCCCGTCTTTCCTCCTTTTGTTTTGGCAGATTTTCTCCACAGATCCTAAGAACACAAAACGCTCCTTCAGTTACTGAGAGCATCGAGTTTCAGTAAATCTTTAGAGATAAAAAACTTAAACCAACGTTGTGTCTGTAAATAAAAACGTCTTCAGCCCATATTTCATCTGGAGAATCACATCAGTGTATGAATAATAAGCCCGAGGATGAGATATGATATCAAACAAGATGTATTTATCTCAACATCCAAGATATGGATGAAGACGAGGATTTCTGTCGAGACTAAAACCAACAATGAGTCTGAATGGTTCCTACTGAAGACGTATCGATAAACACGTCTCACAGATACTGAGATCAGAGAACAGCTGGAGAGTTATTATTCTCACGCACGATGTTTTAACTGCTGTGACTCCAAACTCATCAAAACACATGAAATAGCAGGAAAATGTGTCACACATGAAAGACTGATTACACGCACACACTCTGCTGTCAGGTGTGATATCATCTTCACACCTGGACAAAGACGGCTTTGTGTTTGTGTGATTCATCATGAAGAAGAAGAAGAAGATGTTACAGGTCACACATGTAAGAGAGAGACACACACACGCACTGGTGTGAGTTACAGCCTGCAGGGTGGAGGTGAGTCGAGCATCACACACACAACACAACACACTCCCTCTCACTCTTTATGTCACAAAGTCAGCTCGCCCCGGGACTCTGACCGCAATACCAGGAAGACACACACACACACACACACACACACACACACACACATCACTTCTTAAAAAACATTTTTATAGACTGGCTTGTATGTGATCTCGTCGCTTTTCTGTTTTATTTTATGTGTTGATTTTACTAAATGATTTATTTCATTTATTTTATTGTATCGACTGTCTCACTGATCTTTCTGTTATTATGAATTTGTTTTTGCTGCTTTGTCTGTCAAAGCACTTTGTAAACTCTGTTTTTAAAGCTGCTCTATAAATAAAGTTATTATTATTATTATGATGGAGTCAGTATGGGACAGCACTACATGCTGCAACACCTCGACTCCCCAGGGTCATATGAAGGGTTTTGTTTGTGGACTTCAGCTCAGCATTCAACACCATCATCCCGGAGATACTCCAACCCAAACTCTCCCAGCTCACTGTGCAGCCTCCACCTGTCAGTGGATCACTAACGTCCTGACTGACAGGACGCAGAATGACTGTATGAGAGAGAGAGAGAGTGATAGAGACATAGACAGAAAGATAGAGAGTGAGGCAGACAGTTTTATGGACTGAGTGAGTGAGACAGGAAGACAGACAGCTATATGGACTGAGTGAGTGAGACAGGAAGACAGACAGCTATATGGACTGAGTGAGTGAGACAGGAAGACAGACAGCTATATGGACTGAGTGAGTGAGACGGGAAGACAGACAGTTTTATGGACTGAGTGAGTGAGACAGGAAGACAGACAGTTTTATGGACTGAGTGAGTGTGACAGACAGAGAGAGCCTGTGTGCGTGTAACTGGTTGCCATGGTGAGGACGCACCTGTTGGAGTCTGTGAGTCTGAACAAATCATCAAAACTCCCATAACCGTAGCTCCTGTTGCTCCGATATTAATAAATGAGAGGAAGGATGAGTTGAAGAACAGATCCTGTAAAAATTGTCTGTAGTGTAAAAAATGTGGCTTAACTGGCGATCTAGAAATGGGGTACCGTGTTCTGTGGAAGATGTTTTTGAAGCAAAATTTAACATTGGTCTCTATGGAGCAGAAAGTTGGTTTTCCTCTCAATTATAGGCTTCTGTGTCAAATGTGTAAATATGTGGGATTCCACAGTCATTTGTCTACAACAAGGACAAGATTAGCTACTTTTAAATCCAGAAATGATGCATGAAGAGTGAAGATTGTGGACACAGTGGCAAAAGACAAATCTTTTTTTCACAAGAATCTCAAGCTGCTCACTCTAGCGGTGACATCACACACTCTAAGCTGCGCAATACACACCCATTATGAAGTCAGAAAAGGGCTGAAAAAATCATAGAAGTTAAATTGCTGCAGTTCAAAAAGTTTAAAATATATCAAAAAGCTGAATCATTCTGCAATAGATCAGGGTTGTCTCAACAGTTGAAATAGTGTCTGTAGCTGAAAGTATGAGGAAGTAGAAGGATTTGAACGTTGAAGAAGTTGAAGAGGATTTGAAAATGTTCTCCATAGACATCCCATTCAAAAAAAATGTGCAAAAAGCTTAATAATTCAAAAAGTTTAAAGATTAGAAATATGAAGAGATATAGCAGACGTGTCCTTAACGAGCTGAACATTTTGATATTTGAACGCTTTCTAGTGATTATAGTTGCTTAACAGCATTCCAACTATAATATTATTATTAAGCCCGATTGATTATATACAGTGTGCTTTGTAGCACAAAGCTTTGTGATAGTGTGATAGATAGTGTGCTATCTATTTTTCGGAGAAAAATAGATAGCACAGCGGTTTTCCCGAAAATCCAGAAAAACTGAGCAAAATTTCTCCATTCACTTGAATGGGGTTTCGGCGTGAAGAGAGCTAAAAAAACACTTAACTTTGGGCCCATATTGACTAGCCGTACTTTAACGTAGAAACATGATTCAAAGTTTAAAACGTAGACAAAACGCTGCACTTTATTGAGCCAAAGGGACATTTTGATAGCTAGCACAGTTTTCATGAAGTCACAGATTAAGTTTCAGGAAAATTTTGGGTCTGTTTCAGATTTTATAATGGGTGTGTAGCTCGTTAAGAGCTAGAGTGAGAGCATAACTGTCAGAGTGGAGCGGAGCAGGAAAATATTCTGTAATTTTTCCAAACAAATTGCTCCAGCTCCCACAATTTTTACTCTTTATTCACCATTTTTGGCCCAAAAGCTTGGAAATGTTGTGCTGGTCGCAGTAAAGTGTCTATGGAATCCAACGGACTTACACATTTGGCTCAAAGAGCCGCAGAGCGACATGAACTCCAACCAACTGCTCCATTAGACTCCATGTTAAATCTGACCACTCATTTCTCAAAGAAAGCAGACGGTACCAGTTGTGTCTATTGCTCTGGAGCTCACATTATTAACACCACAAACATAAAAAACACATCAGCGCGTTCGGCAGAGTCTTATCTTTCTCACGGTATCCATATTTTGGCACTCAGACTCCTGCTAATTTGTTAAGAGGCAGGGGTTTTGTTCAAAATCACTGATTACTGCAACGTTTCTTAATCAGTCTGCCTGGTGCGTCCTCACCATGGCAACCAGTTACACACATGCAGTCTCTCTCTCTCTCTCTCTCTGTCTCTCTCTCTCTCTCTCTCTCTCTCT